AGACAGAGAAAGCACTACTGACAGGCATCCCGACGGATTTACGCAATGAAAGTACACTCTGCGCATCAAGTATTTCACTATTTCATTCAGGCGTAAATGTCAGATGTACATTTCGCTAAAACATTTCTTTTATTTTCGTTTGTGTTTTTTGCTCATTACAGTTTAATAGAACCTAAGTATGGAGTTTAATAGCAAATTAAGAGCCCGCGTGATTAACAGTCAATCTCGCGAAATAATAGCCAATGTTATAGAGTTTATGAGAAGAGAAGGAAACTTTAATTCACCTTCAATACCATTTAAAAATGTAAATGATCGTGTTGCTGCAGCCACAGGAGTATCTAAAAACACTGTCGTCCGCATTTCTGGAGAAAAAAAAAGAATCGATAACCGTGAGATATCGGAATTTTCATCACCAAGAAAAACCATTAAAAAACCAAAAACAGTTAATGATATAGATGAAGCTGACAAAGTTATTTTAAAAAGAATTATTCTGTTCATGTTAATCTCGGAAAATATTGTTCCAACATTAAAAACAATTCTGACTAAATTTAGAGAAGCTACAGGGTACAAAGGAAGCTATGAAAGTTTAAGAAAAATAATAAAGTCGCTAGGATTTCGTTGGCGGAAAACAAAAACAAACAGAAAAATATTAATGGAAAGGTTTGATATTCAAAAGCTACGTTTAGACTATCTGATTCGTTTAAAAAGTTATCGAGCAGAGGGCCATCCAATTGTCTACTTAGATGAAACATACATTCATGCCTCCCACACACACCAGAAAGCTTGGAGTGATAATTCAAATGAGGGATTAAAGAAACCAATTAATAAAGGTGATAGACTAATTATTGTCCATGCAGGAGGTGAAATGGGCTTTATTCCGAATGCCCGGTTAATTTTCAAATCTGGAACCAAAAGTGGAGACTACCACGATGAAATGAATTTTAATAATTTTTCTAAATAGTTGAAAGAAAAGCTGTTTCCGAACCTCCCTCCAAGAAGCGTCATTATTGTTGATAATGCTCCTTACCATAATGTCCAGGTAAATAAAGCACCAACGTCAACTTCTAAAAAAGCTGACATGCAGGATTGGTTAAGGAATCATAATATTGCTTACGAGGAGGATATGCTCAAAACGCAATTATACAGTTTAGTGCTATTGCATAAGTCACGATTTAAGAGGTATGCAATTGAAGAAATGATAAATGAACATGGTTTTAGTTGTTTGCGTTTGCCACCGTATCATCCCGATCTTAATCCGATCGAATTAGTGTGGGCATCATTGAAACAATATGTAGCTAGTAACAACACTACATTTAAGAGGCAAGACGTACAACTGTTGTGTGAAGACTTTTTTGATACATTTTCTAAAGAGGAGTGGCAATCTCGTTGTAATAATGCTAAAATGTGGGAATCTAAATTTTATGACAGAGAAGTTACTTTGGATGAGGCAACTGATAGATTTATAATTAACTTAAACAGTGACAGTGAGACTGATTTTAAATCTGATATGGAAACTGAAGAAAGTTTTTCGGAAGACCATTAAAATTATATCTGTACCTAAGATCAAAAAAGTATTATCTATTTTTACAACGAAGATGCACAAGAATCAAATTTTATTTTTTTTATTATTAGATAGCTATTTTTGTTTCTGAGTTGTGTTCATTTACAGGCTCAATTTTTTTCCGTTTCTCCTTTTTGATTTTATATGGGGTTGTTTTTGACTTATTTCGACGTAAATCACAACAACACACTTTTTTAATAAAGCAAACAAGTGTTAAGAGGTATATGTACGTGTAAACTACAATTACAAAAAATTGATATGAAACCCATGAAACCACCAACAAAAATGTAAAGCTAGCTTCCGTACTAGAACATGGTGTCATTCGTCGAGATAATTTATCGTTTTGTTTAATAGATCAAGAAATGTAAATATTCCCTTGTTATTTTTTATAAAATTATAAGAGAAATAATTTTTTTTCTAAATAGTATAGTTTATTATTTTGTAGAAAAACAAAATTTCGAAAATTTTAGTAATGTTTCAGAAACAACCGTTATTAATAATAGGTACCATTTTCCTTAATAAGGTAGAAATAAAATATAAACTATTTCCACGATTTACAAAGGCCTACAAAAAAAATATAGGTATTTTCCGCTATCCTATAAAATTTATATTTTCTGACTTAATTTCAAAAGGTTGAAGGAATTCCAAAACACCTTTTATGGCATTATAATTATTTTCAATTCTACATACTATCTTTAGCTGCTTTTAAAAACGTTCTAAGAAAGTCCAATCAGACCAATTTAATCCCTAAACTATTCCACACTTTTAAAATTTAATTACCTAAAAATATTAAAAACTATTTAAAATAACTTGTTTAGCAGACTGTACAATAGCTATCTTAGTCACACGTAGCGCGTTCTCTGTCTGGGCGTCGAACACCTCTAGAAATTTGATGAACTGTAATCTCTTATGAAATAAGAATATCAATAAAATTATAAAAACTCATCAGTCGAATGTGTCCAAAAAGGAAATAAGCACCTAACGCATTATTTTTAATTTAAAATAATATAGGAGTTTTTATCGTTTAGTAGTCATTTTAAGTAAGCAATGAGTAAAACGCCTTACTAAGTTTCTTGCTACGAATGGAATTATTACCTCTACTCAACATGGATTCCAAAGAGGAAAATCTACAACTACAGCAATTTTTTCCTTTGTAGAACGCATTCTACATCACCTAGATAATGGCTGTATTGTGCATGGTGTATTTCTAGACTTGTCAAAAGCCTTTGATTGTGTAAACCACCAATTACTATTAAAAAAATTATACGTTATCGGCGTACGTGAAATTGGTTTAAATCATATCTGAATGCAAAAAGTCTGTCTGAAAACAAATGAAAACAAATAGTAGGATTAGAAATAAGATAGGATCCTTTTAGTAGTTTAGTTTTCTTCTTCTTTTTCTACCTATCAGTATAAATTTTCTGTGGTGGTAAACAGTATGATTGATGTAATTACCAATTGCAAATTATGGCACTATGGGTTTTGCTAGGTTTTCCTCTAGTCTTGGTAAATACGCCATTCTTACTCGGTAAGTCGACCTAGCTGGCACATTAATAATTAATTATTAATAACAATACTACATCTTGCAGTTGGTATTTTTGCATCATCTATTTTAAGTTTTAGCTTTATCTTTATGTAATATTTAGTTATGGATATTGACGTGTACAACACAATACACTCTGCATATTGTCGTCCCTAGTACAAATAAAAGAATATGAATTTAAAGTTTTAACTTTTTATTTTTTTTTCCAAACAAACAACACATTTTTATTTTCTAATAATCTTTGTTTGAAAATTTCAATACATATTTTATATTATTTTGATAGGGGTTACATTTTGATTTTTACTAAAAAAAAAATGTAATGCTTAAAGTTAAAGGCAATAAATTGCCAGAGTCTGGTAGACTCATTATTACAGACAAAAAGTTCACTGTAGTGGCTAAGGATTAAGATATGATATTGAAATCGGAGAGTGACATTTTCTAGAGGAAGACCACTTGTATGTGCCAACATTTAATGGCAGCCTGTTGTTTTGAACCATGTGTTATCAATATTATCTTGTATGCCATATTAAACAATTAGATTAATATTTAATTATACAAAACAAATTTACTTAAATCAGCAGTCAATGCAAGTTTATTTACATCTATTAATTGAATAAAGTCATCAACAAAGATATGAAAACAGTGGGCACTACTGAAGGCCTCAAATATTAACTACCACTCTAAAACCATTATACAGAACTCTTATATACTTTTATATTAGAAATAAATTAAGTATCCATTTTTTCAATTTTAAATTTCAAAAATAATTAATTTATAGGTTGATAACCTAATTTTAAAAGAAATGGTTGGAATTTCCTACTTTATAAACCCAAACAATAATTTTAAGATCCCTTTTCAAGGATAAAGTTTTCAAATATTTGAACTATGTTATCATTCCGTTTGTGTACTTATTTATTTAGGTACCACAACTAGATATATAATGAATAAAAATTGTTAATCATGATAATGAATACAAATTGTATGTATGTAATACCTATATAAACATTTGTATTTGGTCTAAAAGTGGTTCATGTTATTGTTATTGATAGAAAGATTTTAAAAAATTCTTAGGTGATACATTTTATCTAATTTTATCATATAAATAACAGACACATTTTCCCTTTGATATTAAATAGGTAAATTGTTTTAAATGGACATTTTGTCATACCGTATTATTTAGAAAAACATTAGTTTTTATTTAAAAAGTGAATTCACAACATAAGTGTATAATAATTTCAAAATAAAATATTTTAATTAAAACGTTTTTATCAATATTGACATTACGCTGCAATTGAGCAAACAATGGTACATTAAATTCAACGCAATGCAAAAAAATCTTTACTGGGAGAACTGTGCAGTAAACTAGAAAAACAAAAAATCTATCGACTAAAATTAGCTGACTAGGTAATAGGTATATACCTACTTATTGACATAACTTTGTATAGCTTCACTAGAAAATATTAATGATAGCTCTCGGTAAATGAATAAATGGCATTCTGAGTACAAAGTTAACTACGACTGTTTTTAATAAATGCATTAGTTTACAGTTTTAGAGAAAAATAACATTTTTATTCATGTAGAAGTGAGACGTAGATGTCAATAAACGGCTGACATTTTCAGCTCGACTAGTATGTCTACCGTTGTTTAGAACAAAGAAATGTAGAAATAAAAATAATAAATAAAGCTAACGGTTTTGTAAATAGACACTAGACTAAATTCAACTTTGTTCTGCAAGTAAATGCTCTTTAAAACTGGTATTATTCGCTGCTTTTAAAATACATTGACATTTCTCAGATTTGTATCAGCTGTTTTACATCAAACAATGAACATTAGGAAATTACTTTAAGAAAATTACTAAATTCTAATAACGTACAAAGAAACTAATTTAGGACTTACATCGAATTTGTTTTTTCCTGCATAAATCATATTAATGCAGGCTAAAAAGACCACAAATTCACTTTTATTCTTTCGTAACTCACTGCACAAATACCAACAAATAAATGATTGCTACTCTCTTAGTACAATGTCCTTGGTTCGCAGCGGGCTCTGCGAATAGCGGCAAACGGATTTGTTTATGAGCGATTCTATTGGCTGACGAGTGTTCAAAACAAAAACAACCCCATCTGATCGTCTGCTTGTCCTACAACGTTGTCACGTCTTTAATTTAGGAGAAGATTGAGTAATTTTTACTAAACGAAACAATATTTACAAATACATACCTATAATGCACACAAATCAATTTATGCACCTTATTGGCTAAAAGTATACTTTTAGTCCCTTCAGCGACTAAAATGGCACTTTTACTCCCTTGGGATTAAATTTTTTTTTAATCCCTAGACAACCTGGCGGAAATGATCTGTTTTATTAGGTATAAAACCAGAACCAAAAATCAAAAGATGTGTAATTGCTCACAATAAATGTATTTATTCGGTAGTTCTACCCCATTCCGCCTTTCATTCACCCCAGGTTTTCTGTAAAAAATGTCAAAATAGTCTAATTTCTAATTTATTGCGAATGAGGTAAACCTATGATAAAAAAATGCTTGCAAGGGCAATACTCGCTTCCCAGAGAGCACACCAAATCCTTTGGATATCTACTGAACATCCCAATATCCACTGAATGTCCAGTCCATGGTAGATATCTATTTTATATCCATGAAATGTAATTTATAGACATGCAAATGTCCATAAATAATACTAATTATATAGCAAATTATTAAAAAATTACACCATTGTGGATATTTAAAATTAATTTTTTTAAGGTGTATTCAATATCCCATGAACATCCACTAAATATATGAAAGTCTAGGCGCGGACGCAAACCATCGTGGATATCCACTAGATGTTATTTGATTCTGCTTACTAAGTATAGATGGCGATACCACTATCGCATCTACTCATGCTCGACCCGCCGTAATTGAGTTCGATCGAAATTTGTGTCGTAATCACTCCATTAGAGACTGGAGTCGAGAATTTTCATTTATTGCTGAAGAGTCCTAATAAGGATGACTTTCTCCTTAGTGGGCAAAATCAAAGGCAGAGTGTTGAAAATATTTTGAGTGTTGAAAATATTTTTTATCTCTGCTATTTTCTTTAGACGTTATTCAATAATCATTGGTTACTTATGAACCTCTACTAAAGTTACCCATAAAATATTTTGCTGAATATCCGAATATCTTCTATATCCTGGGATATAGACGGACATTTGGTTGGATATCCATATTGGATATGTTGAATATCCACAAAATATATTCTGTGGATATCTCTGGGATTTCTTGTATTTTCTGGAAGATACCCATTAGATATTTTGCTGAATATCCATTAGGATATCTTCTATATTCTGGATATAGACGGACATTTGGATATCCATATTAGATCCACAAAATATTTCTGATATCCTGTGGATATATTGGATATCCACAAAAAATATTCTGTGGATATCTCTGGGATTTGGTGTGCTGTCTGGGTTATTTGAGAGTCATACAAATATTTTGAGTAGTGATTTGCAAAACCGTTGGTTAAAGAAGATATTGTGCATCATCCAGCACTAAATATTAAAATTAAATATAAATGAACAACAATTCCCATTTTGCAGAGTTAACACTAGATACAATTTTCGTCGAGCAAATTTCCCAGCAATTTACGATGAACTCTTGAATATAGAATGGTCTTACACCCGTCAGATAATGTTGATGAAGCCATGCTGAAGTAACTAACGGCATTATTTCCAAATATACTTCTGTATTTAAAACCCCGTCGCGGATATATATACCTTTGGTATACAAAAAAGTTTATAAAGCAAAAGATCTAGCTAGGAAGAATTACAAAAACTACAACATACCTTCATATTATAATCGTTTTCGTCTTTTAAGAAGTGTTATCAAGCAACAGATTAAAGTTTCTTATGGTGCATATTGTAACGTTTGTTTAATTTATTTATAGTTTATTTGAAACACTTTATTTACAATTTATTTATAACGTACTAATTAATTTATATAATACTAGTATAACTCCTCTAATTTATTTAATACAATTTATCTTTTGTATACAGCACTTAAATTGAAACTTAAGTCCGTCGACAAACTCGCGCTATTTATACAAAGCCAGCTCTGTACCAGAACACTCTCGGCGGTCCAGAATGTTCGGGAACTCCCTATCAATGACTCAGACGCCACATAGCAATCTATCCGGTAGCTTCTCGAAGTGGTGCGTTTGTCTCTATATGGCCAGCGCTTGACTTCATACCACAGGCAAGGAGTAAACAAAGAACAGAGACGGCTTCGCGTCACATTGCCCCTCCTTAAGAAATAGTTCCTATTGTAACTAAAACTGAATAATTGGATCTGTAACTGGACCCACTTTTAAAATTTCCATTCGTATGGAAATAACAAGGGACGGTTTTTGCTGAAACCTGGACACTAGGCGAATCTGGCGAATAGCTGCAGACTAGTATTTGGACCTCGGAATGTTTGAAGATTATTTCCACCATGTTTCTAATGATCCTCCAATTTAACTGGTTGCTCTCTATCTTGGGCATGGCTAGTTTCTGTATGGCCTCCAGTACGTGCTCCCTCAGACTGAGATAATGCTTCCCATACATCATGATAAGTGGATCGATCTCGGAAGGTGTTCTTCGTTACCAAATAGAAAAGATAACGCAATCAATCTTGAAGTTTCAATATTTTTTCAGGGGCTGGTAACTGACTTGAAATTCTGGCAATTTACCAAACTTCTTCCTTAACACAGATGCCACACCTCGAGCGTCGTTGATGCTGGCGGAAGTGCTATGGACCAGAGTAGTCTTTAGGAACCGTGAGCAGATCTTGTTGTTGCTCGGTTTTAACACCATATCTTGCTTTTTCGGTTCCTCTATATGCACCCATAAATTCTTCAAAGACAAGTTCAGGTGATTCTCGGAGCTGGTTTACTTCTTCTTCCTCGTCATGGTTATCCTCAAATGGAACCAGTCGGTTTTGGTGAACTACCTTTGGTTTACCGTTCGGAATCTTACTTATACGGTAAATGACATCATTTATTTTTTCTTAATAAGATACGGATCTTCCCAAGACCTTTGAAGCTTCATCTTTTTGGGTTATGAAGCCAGACTTTGTCGCCTTCCTTGAAACATATCCTTCTATGGCTTAGGTATCGTATCGCTTCTTCATTCTGTCGCTGGCGATTTGCAGATGCGAGCGAACTAACTCGCTAGTTGGATCACATAATCTTCACCGGCTATGTCTTCTCCAGGTCGGCATCCAAACTCGAGATCACATGGTAGTTTCATCTCACGCCCGAACAGCACCTTTGCTGGTATTTGGCCTATAGATTCATTGACAGCGGATCTATATGCCATTGCGTAGAGCGAAAGATTTCCCAATCTCGCTGATGGTTGGAAACTACTTTTGACAGGTATTTGCCAATGGTCTAATTCATTCGCTCTACTATTCCATCTGACTGTGCGTACAGTGCCGTAGTTCTGCTTTTCTTCATGCCTAGTCTATCACAGATTCCTCGGAAAAGCTGGCTTTCAAAATTTCTGCCTTGGTCCCTGTGAATCTCCAAAGGCACTTCAAATCTACTGTTGAATTCTTTTACTAACACGTCTGCAACAGTTGCGGCCTCTTGATTTGGAATAGAGTAGACTTCCACCCACTTTGTGAAATAATCCATAATCTCTATTATGTATTTATTACCATTCTCGGTCATGGGGAATGGTCCAGCAATATCTAAGGCAATCCTCTCAAATGGGCTACCAACTTTGTACTGTTTCATGGGGTCCGTTACTCATGGCACAGGTGCGGTACATTTCTTACACCAGTCCTTTACATCATCGAAACTGTTCATCCAATTAAACCTTTCACGAACTCTCTGAAGGGGTTTCTTAACACCGATATGTCCTCCTGATGGACTGTCATGTAACTGACGAAGTACTTCGGCTACTCTAGTCTTTGGAATGACCAACTGTCTTCTGTTTTCGAAACGATCATCATTCTCTAGTACTCGCTTTAATAAGCCTTCTTCCATGATAAAAGAGTCCCACTGTGCCAAATATAACTTAACTACTGGAGAAAGATTTAATACTTCTTGCCAAGTAGGTCGACGATTTTGCTCTTTCCATTATCGCATCTGCTTTAAAACGGGATCGTTTTCTTGTTCTTCCGTAAGTTTGGCAGGGGTGCATCATCGTTGACAATCGTTGTTCTTCGTACTGTAATGCCTTTAGCAGATGTGGCCAACCCCTTTCCAATCCGTATTCCTTGACTAACACCTTCATTGCGTTTCAAAGTTTCCACCATGACAGGCGTTGCTTTCTCTACGGTTCCTTGCAACCGCGTTAACCTTATGGTTTCACATCTATCAGACACCACCGTCCCTTCCTGTACAGCCACTCATACGGTTTTTCGAATTCTAGTATTCTTTGAGCGTTTGCGCGAACTGCTTACATTTCCCATTTCACCGCAATTTCAGCACCTAACCTAATAGTCTTCGGTTGCTTCTTAATAAGGCTTTTTTTTATCATGTGAAAGAAACAATTGGTCGAATTTATTTCTCCATTCTTCTTTTTTTACAGTTCTTATTTCACTGTATCCACCAGAAGTCAGCGTAGCTGATTCATATTCAAGAACAGCGGATAAGCCATCGACCAATGTTTTGTGACGGGCTAAACGCAGTATTCTTTGCATATCATGGTCACCAAGTCCATCAACAAATGCTTGAACATAGCTAAACATTCAATCATTTATTCCCGAGCTGATGGGTAGGCAAATCGCACCATCTTCGCAATACCTAATTCGAATTCTTGAATGCTTTCGTCATGTTTCTGTTTGCGATTCTTCAACTGTAATAGGTACACCTGCTCCAAGTGTTCGTGACCATATCGCATGTTTAATCTCGTCTCTTCTACAGGTATAGTGCCTGAAGGACATCTAAAGTGTCTCCTCGAAGGGCAATGGTCAAATTTACTCTCTCACACCATTCGTCTCGCAGCTTCGAACTGTTTAAGATAGTTGGTATATGACATCTTCCCGTCAAAAGTTGGGGCTTTAACACGAGCAGAGTTTACAGTTCCTTC